CACTAAAAGATCAAAGGGCTGCCAGCACAATTATGCAATTAATCTGTTTGCTAGACAGGACACCTGAAGAACAAAAGAAAATGTTATATATGACTCATATATACATATCCATAAGACAAAGTCATTTGCACTGATCAACTACTTTTCTGTTTTTGAGGGACACATTTCACACACAATAGCATTTCACTATAAAGGATATTCAAATGCTTCCCAAACCATCTTTGAGTGGATTTTCCTTTGTCCACTTGTTTGAATGCATGTAGTTTTTTTTTTTTGTTGTTTTTTTCCCCCCAGTGGAATTAAAGTTAATTTAGATAATGCTTCTTCTAACCCTGATTCCCCAGATAGGTATCTGCAGGCATTATGAGATAGTGGTGAGATTATAAAATATGTCTAAACAGACAGCAGACCATAAAGTGATGATACAGTCTCTGGTACTTAAATGGTGTTCTGCTGCCCCCAAATGGCAAACAAATTAAAAATAAAATCCTAACAAATCTGCAATGTGGCTTTTCCCCAGCCATGATTTCAATTACTGCTAATCAGTGTTAACCTGTGTAAAGTTTAGCTGGACTTGAGTCACACAATAGCCTGCAAAGTAAAAACAACAGTAGTGTGGAGTGAGGGAATGCAGCAGATGAGTCAAACTGAGTCTCCTTCACATTGGAACTTTCTTCTATGTAAAACTGTAACTTTAAGTTTTTGGTAAATGATTGTTATCGAGCTGAGAAGGAAAACGTAAACGTTACCCAACCGTCCATCCATTTTCTACTGCTTGGGGGGTTGGGCCGTGGTGGCAGCACCCTGAGTGGAGCCCAGAACTCCCTCTCCTCAGCCACTTCCTCCAGCTCATCCGGGTGAGCCTGCTCATCTGCCCAACCCTGTACTGAGGCCTTTGTTAATGTGTTTGAAGAAAACTGATTGTTCTCTTCTCAGAGTGTCCACTTTATATTACTTGTAGTATCTTTTTTGGATGAGCATGTGATGCTTTTTTCTTTGTGTTTCTGCAGCTCTTTTCCATCTTCGCATTTGCAACATGTGGCGGTTATACTGGGCAGCTGCAGGTTAGCGTGGACTGCATGGAGAAGGCCAGCAGCAACCTCAGCATTGGCATTGACTTTGGTTATCCTTTCAGGTGATTGGCCTTCATGTGTCTGACAGCCTGCTGACATTTTGGGATCTAAGAGCTTTATATGAAATGTATGAACTGCTGACAGTGAAAGTTAATTGTTCATTGCTTTTGTACTTGACCCGTGCATGCGTGCGTGTGTGCACCAGGTTGCACCAGGTGTCCTTTGAAGCACCCATGTGTGAAGCCATGAGGAGGGAGCGTGTTTTCCTGACCGGAGACTATTCATCCTCTGCTGAGTTCTTTGTCACCATTGCAGTCTTCGCCTTCCTTTATTCCCTCACGGCTGCCATTATCTACATCTTCTTTTTAAACAAGTACCACGAAAACAGCCGAGCACCACTCATTGTGAGTACAGTCGATGAAACACTTTCTCAGTCCTTATTAGGTAGTTTATCAAGAGTACGTTATGCACATAGTCTGACCCTCTATTCTTCCAGGTTGACGTCTTCCATTGACTCACAAACTAACTATTCACTCATTTAAAGTAAGCATTTAAAGTAATGCTATAGTTTTATTGCTGAATTCTCATGGACATGATCGCTCTCGTTTCTTCCAGGATTTTGTAGTGACAGTAGTGTTCTCCTTCTTGTGGCTGGTCAGTTCCTCCGCTTGGGCCAAGGCCCTGTCTGATGTCAAAGTGGCCACCGATCCAGATGAGGTGCAGCTCCTCATCTCTGCCTGCAAAGACCAGACCAACAAATGTGGATCTTTGCATGGACCTCGCTGGTCTGGACTCAACACCTCAGTGGTAGGTACAAAAGATGTGGAAATGCATGAAAAGATCAACTAGAAAAGCTCAGTTTTCTGAACATGTTTAAACTGATGTGTGGAACCTGAAATAGCTGAACAGTGTGAACGACTGATGTTATGGTAGTGTATGGGAGATGTAACCAGTGAAAAAGGCAGAAATTGTGGTTCAAGCTGAATGAATATGTGGGGGCAGTTATGCCAAGATTATTTGAATGTTTTGATGTTTATTGTAAATTTGTTTCTTTCACTGTCTCTTCAGGTTTTTGGGTTTCTCAACTTTGTTCTATGGGCTGGAAACATCTGGTTTGTCTTCAAGGAGACCGGCTGGCACAAGGGTGCTTCAAGATTTGCAGCCGGGGCGTCTGAGAAGCAGGGCGGCACATTTAGCCAGCAGTCATACAACCAGGGAAGTTTTGACCAGTCAGGGAGCTACAACACCCAGGGCAATATGGGTCAGCCATCTGAGTATAGCCAGGTGGGAGGGCCCACTTCCTACCCAAGTCAAATGTAATTGTCTCTTTTCATTTTGCAAGTAGCACCTCAGCGTCTTTAAGCAGGGCAATCAGGCGTGATAGAAGAAGACGGAAGTGAAGTTTGTCTGTGCAGAATGCAAAACGGTGGTCATAAAACCAATGTCGGTGTGTCCAAGTACACTCATTGTAGATACAAGTGTTGTTGGGTAAAGTTATTAGATATAGTCTTTTACTCCTTCTCTTTCAGAGGTGTTGTTTGCTGAATGCTGTATTTCTTGTAGTCTGAAACACATTAGTAACAGTTTCTCTCTCTCTCTGTGCTCAGTAATTGACATACAATGTTTTGATTGGATGTCTTTTCCAAAGTGGTTTGCATTCTGTCGTGGAAGGAAAAAGTACTCCGTGTTTGTATACTCCAAAGTTTCCAAGTGCATGATGTTTTATGTGTTCTAATACGCTTTCTGTGAAACAAAGGGGGGTGGGGGAGACATGCATTTTATCTCTGAAAGTTTACACCCTGACTGATTACTAGACGTTCATCAGTTAAGTATTACTACAAGTGTAATTTCTTTTTAATCTAATAAGAAATATATTTTGATAATGGGAATTCACATATCAATTCAGAATAAATTCAGTGATTTGTCTGTGACACAAACGCATTCCAGCTTCATTCTAACACTGGCTACTGACGATGTCAAAAAGTCTTCAAAAACTAAGGCAATAACTTCATAACTTCATTCTGCAAAACATACAGGGAATGTGCAAGAAAACCAAATTGTATATGCAACCATTGCAGCATGTAGTTTCTGTTCCTTTCATTTTCATTTCTTCTGCACAGGCAGCATCACATTGGCATTTTATTTGTAAAGAGGGAGTTTGTCTCCCCTTATTGTTTGCAAGTGGCTGCTCCTGCTACAAATGCCTGGGACTGCTTCCTATGCCATCGTCGGACTGATGAGTAATTCCATATCCAAGTTCCACCTCTCTAAAGCATGACCAGAGCATCCACACACACTAATAAAGCCCAGCAAAAAAGCTATAGTGACAACAGAAGACTAGTGAATATTAGATTCATCTGTATATAACGGCTACTGAGCTTTAGTTTACTTTAAAAATCACAGTTCCTTTCTGCACCACAGAGGTGTGACTGTGTGTATGGTAAAGTCAAAATCAAAGGATAATGCGTGGTTGCTGTTTGTTTACATTAATGAGACTTGTGCAACCCTGTTCTTTGAACTTCTAAGCATGTGGCTTGCATCAGTGTAATAAAGTAGACTGAACATCCATGCACTGTATAATAATCTGGCATCCTTGATGACTGTGTACAGGTCAGGAATTCAGGAATTCATCCTAATAAAAATGTATAAATTTGTCCATAAACGACTTCTTCATCTGTTCTGATATCTTGATTTGATCTGTAACCTCTGACCCTTTTCCTTGATTTCCCAAGAACAAAGCAAGGACACACAGCTGTCTTTCTGTTTGATATAAGAAACGCAAACTGAGACACAAATGTATGTGGTGTCTCTGCGTGTAGGTTTTGGAGTGTAACAGTTCATCTTTTACCGTACCTTATTCACTTTCTGAACTACACTATAGAAAATAAAGCAAAGAGCAATAAACACATACATGGATTTCATCATACCACTCTGAAATTCCTAGAAATTGATTTCTGAATGTTTTGGTGTCTTCATAATGTTTACTTAAAAAAATGTGTATTTAAATAGTTTTATGTACATCCATCCATCTTCATCCGCTTTATCCGGGGCCGGGTCGCGGGGGCAGCAGCCTAAGCAAAGAGGCCCAGACCTCCCTCTCCCCAGCCACCTCCTCCAGCTTATCCGGGGGAATACCAAGGCGTTCCCAGGCCAGCCGAGAGATATAATCTCTCCAGCGTGTCCTGGGTCTGCCCCGGGGCCTCCTCCCGGTGGGACATGCCTGGAACACCTCACCCAGGAGGCGCCCAGGGGGCATCCTTGTCAGATGGACTGTACAGTTTTATGTACAGTAATAGTAATAACAGTAATGTGTCCTCATGATTTAGTGTGTTTTCCTTTGTAGCACTCAGTGGCCTAAAGTCCAAATCTTAAAATCCAAATGAATACAGAATTATAACATCATAGTCTATGTCTCAGGAATTTGCGCATCAATAATAAAAATGAATTGTCTCAACAGTATTTTGAAATGTAAGCCTGTGCATTTTTAAAGGTCTCTCTCTCTAAAAGGTCACTCACTCCCCTCCAAATGATGCAGGAGTTTCCACTAAGACCAGGAATATATTAAAATGAAAATTAAAACCACAGTAGTTTGTTTGAACTCTTGCTTTTCTTCATAAGTTATACTCCTAATTCAAGATTTGCAGTGTTTGTTTTCTTATTTGTGTGTCTAATATAGTCTGTGTCATCTAAAAACACACTTTACTTTGCTTTTTCTTCCCAATAAATAATTTTAATTACATGTAAAAAAAAAAAAAACGGGGCTTTTGCAGTTATCTGCGCTAACATGGCTACAAGTCAGGTGTGACTTGCTTTTCCACTGCGAGCATGTGGTGCAGAAAACATCGCGTGTGACCAGCAGAGGGAGATATCCCAACAGCTTAACGCTTGTCGCTGACACCGACGAGGAAGCCAATATCTGGAGCTGATCAGTGAAACCTCCACCGGATCAGACCAGACATGGGCACACTGCACCACCTAAACGCGCTCATCACCGAGCGGCTCACCGCGGCGGCGGTGGAGATTTTCGGGGCTGTGGAGAAAACCTTAATAGACTACCAGGGAGAGATCAGCCGATCCAAGCAGGAGATAAATCAGCTGCGATCACTGCTCTCCTGGCCTGAAGTCAGGCTACACAGATCAGGTGTGTAAATGTAATACTCATTACTTTATGTTAAAGGCTGCAGCTGTTTCACCTCTAGACTTTTGTCGTACCATTCAGCAGATCATCTTTTGAGTGCCCGCAGTAATGAAGAGGCTCCTCCTGAGGGCTCACATGTGAGCCCAAAGCCCCAGAGCATCCTGCACATTAAAGAGGAGCATGATCAAAGGGATGCTCAGCAAGGAGCCTCCTGTAGGCAGCAGAGTGATGCCACAGTGTCACCTGAGGTTGTGACAAGAGGAGATCACGAGGATCCACCCTTGCACCTATACACTGTATTAACTGTTGAGCAGGCAGCAGCTATCAAAGCTGAGCCACACGGAGATGAGTGTTTAACATCTACCTGCGGAATAAACGCGGAGTCAGAAGTTCAACAACTTAACCCAGAAGGTGAGGAGAGGACTGAGTAAAAGCACATCCAGCAAAAGCTGGCATCAGTTATTTTGTTCTTATATCAGTCCGAGCGCTGGAATGAGAAAAATAGTGTGTTTTTCATTGCATGAGCTGGAGATGCTTCCCATAATGAGCAGGTTTGTTTACATTCATGAGCTAATACCTGTCTGAGTGACCAAATCTCAAGTGTATCACTGCAGTAAACGACAGATTTCCTTTACATTCATGTTGTGTTTCAATGTTAAACAGAAAGGTGAAAGGAAATGTCAAACGCAGCCGTCTCTCATGTTCAAATATACTGATAACCATGGTACTAATTAGATATAAATAATTAAAAATGATGGCAATTTATTATTAATATTTTAATATAATATTTTATAATAATAATATAATATTTTTTTAGATCCACTGGAGATCACTTATTCTAAGAATCATGGGACTCAACAAGACCAGAGCCAGTATCAGCACCGCTACAACCGTCATACATCTAAGATCATAAAAGTGCAGGCGTTTACATCATCTAAACCTCAGGAAGAGGCGGACTGTGACTGTACACTACCTCATCAGCCACTAGATGATTATAATGAGGCTCCTTCTCTAACCCTGAGCCCCAAATGCAGTCTGAGCAACAATGCATTTACTACAGAAAACAGGACAGATGTTGAAGGCTGTACACTGTCTGGAGAGTCTCAGTCTGTCCACTCTGTAGAGCCAGAGCAGCTTGTTGGTCAGAGTGAGCATACTAAAAACATAGAGGGTGTGGGGATTAAGCTGCTCAAACCATCGGGAACAAGACAACAGAAAAGACAAATCTCCGAGTTGAACTCCAAGGACGGAGACAGTATGGAAGAAGATGGAAATCATTTCATAAGGGAGAGAAGGCACACATGCCCCATTTGTGCTAAGCGTTTTAAAGAGTCGAGTCATTTGAAAGATCACGTGAGGATCCACACAGGAGAGAAGCCTTACCGCTGTAAGGAATGCGGCGTGAACTTCAGGCAGAGCGGAGCCCTGACGTTACACATGAGAATCCACACAGGAGAGCGACCGTACCAGTGCACAGAGTGCGGCAGGCGCTTCAATCGTAAAGGTGACATGGAGACTCACAGGGTGACGCACACAGGGGAGAGGCCTCATTCGTGCTTGTTTTGTGGGAAAACTTTTCAAAGGAAGAGCCAATTAAACACACATCTGAAGATCCATGAAGAGGACAGAACCGATTACACTCACCCACTGTGACTGTTCACAGGAGACAGAAGTGACATGTCTAAAACCCTTTATTTTTAATTGCAACTGATGTTACAACTGTAGGACTCAAGGAAGCATGCTAGGATAAAATCATTCCATTTGCAGTCCACAGTTCTCATCATCAGTGACTTCAACACTTTCACCAATGCAAATCCCTCTCCTAACAACACGTTATTTCTCTGTGTAAAACCAGGTTCTTGCCGAGCCTAGAACCATATATCTTCATTTCATTAGAGACTAACAATATTATTAAACTGTGTCTTATCATTATCATTGTAACATTAGATGTGAGTCATATAACAATCTCTATAAGTAATATGTGCAACTTTTACGCCACAAACTGAAAGAGCTCGTGTGAGCAGATGTCTCTGAGTATCAGTGCTAATGCAAACCAGAAATTCTTTAGTGAAGACAAATTTAATAAAGAAAGCTGCTGTAACGCAAACTGTAGAGTTAAAGGAGATGAACACAATGTCTCAGTTTTAATAGGTAGTTGTCAAAACAAAACTAGCATATACATCAAAGGGCAAGACAATAAAAAATGAATTCATTCAGCTGACAAACATTTTCTACTAGACAATTTTTGTGTCTCCAAAGTAAATAAATTGTCGTTTTTTTGAATATTTTCATTGTGTCTGTTTTTTAAATGAAAACATAAGCATTACATGACAATAGGGGTCTCGAACTCCAGTCTCTGAAACCATGTGTGCCTGTTGCAACACACCTGAATATAATTAGTAGGTCATTAGCAAGAGTATAGAACTTGACTGCATGCTGAGGTGGCAATTCAGCCATTTGATTCATATTGCAGCAGCTCATGAGTGAATGAACATGGTGCAATAAAGTACTGTTGGAAGTACATTTTTCCAAAAACGTACATTTACTTAAATTTGCTTGAGTACTGTTAGCGGTTGCCACTTTAGCATGTGTAGCATTGTGTAGGTGTCAAAGAAGAGGAATCTGTTGAGAAATTCATGTCAACTATCACAGATGTTTTTTATTATATTTTTAATAAGACGCTATTACACTCCTTGAAAGTTGTTAAATGTGAACAGACTTTTCCTTTATTTTTTGTGGAATACTACAGCAGATATAGATGAAACTTGGCTCAGAGGGACAGTAGGTGGCCCAGAGGAGGAATGTGTTGAAAGTTTGATGTCAACTATCAAGTATGATTTTTAATTAATTTTTGAATATGATGCAACCAGGCTGTCCCAATGCAATGTGTGCGCGCGTGTAAGTGTCCTCGGGTCTGCGATCGGTAAAGAAGGAGAAAAGGCGCTGCCGTAAAGGCTAGTGTAGAAGCGCAAGAAATGTTATGCGGCGGCTAAGAGGCGGCTGAACTTTGGAAGTCGTTGGTGTAGAGTTTTCAAAGTACTTGTAGAAAAAGCTCCTGGAAGCGCTCACACGTGAAAGTCACATTCGATTGTTGGCTTCTGCTTTTATACCTGCCGCTCAACACGTCATCCTCATCACCTTGACTCCCAGTGTCACCCAAGCAAAGTGGAGTGATAAACACGTCGGCTTTATTTATTCAGAATAAGTTTCCCGTAAAAATTATTTCCCATTTAGTTTCACAGTTTCGATTCAAACGTTTGTTTTGTTTTTAAAAACGTAGTGTTGTAATATTTTATATATATATATATTTGTATTTTTAATCATTAATTCATCACTTTATAAACAAGAAGTATCAATAACTGAAAATCGTAACGAAAACTCATCACGTTAATTAAGTCTGATTATTTCTTTCGTTAAAACGAATTGCGTTAGTCGATCACTTTTTAAAAAATATTTAAAGAAAATATCATCTTCATGCAGAAAACGAATAAAAAATGAATATATACAATAAAGTTGCCGTACTGTAAAATATTGTCGCAGCATTTAACTGCGCCTTTGATAAAGATGTTTCGCCCTTTTCCCGTTGTAGTTCAGAGTGAAATTTAGCTGCATGTGTTACAAACGCTTGTGTATAGTGATTTATGCGCAACTTTTGAGGACTCTGACCACACCTTAAACTATTTTACAAACGCGAATTTCAAACTTCGCGGTCCTAGCCTGTTTGGTGCCACTCCCTCTGGAGGGTGGTTAGGGTGGTGTCTGAGAGGCAGATGTTGTCCAAGATAAGGACAATCATGGATAATACCCCCCACCCACTCCATGACCTACTGGCTAGCCACAGGAGCACGTTCAGTGAGAGACTGAGATTACCAAAAAGCACCACTGAACAACACAGGAAATCTGTGGCTTGTGGCCATCTCCCTGGACAACTCCTCCATCTAATGCACTGTAAACATTGCAATAGTTACACCCGTTTTACGCACGCTCTACTCTGTAATATTCTTGTCAATTTTCTTGATATTTATTTATAATCGCCTCTGTTAATCCTTGATATTTATAACTGAGTGATCTGTATTAGTGCTATTTCTTAAATGTGTAAAATCTGTAACATAATGTATTGTTTGGAGTTTAGTCTGTTACTGTTACTATTTTTACAATTTCGTCTTGGAGCAACTGTAACTCACATAATTTCCTTAGGGATTAATACAGTATTCTGATTCTGATTGTTTCAGGATGACCTGCCATTATCCAATGACACGTCCGCTTACCTGTATCTTTTCTTGTTTCTCCTCCTCTTGTTTTCTCCTTTTTCTAAACTGAGCACCTGATGGCTTTGAACTTTTCTTGTCCATCTTCCATTGGTTTTAATTTTGCACTCCAGTATGAACACCCATCCCCCAACCCAAGGATCACCACAAGATAACCTAATAGACCTACACCTTAGTTCACAGATATGCTTTGTCTAGGGTTTATTTCTGGGATTTCAAACAAACCAGGATTCAAATCATGAATACATAATGGGCTTGGATTTACAGCGTTATGAATGAAATGTGCTCTATTTGGCAGCAGCCGGCCCCCCTGCCCTGTCGACAGGTTGTGTGCGAGACTTTAAATCATCAAACTGTAAATTATAAATTTAAAATTGTTATTGATCCCTTTACCCCGAGTCCTAAAGTCTATATTTATTTTCTTACTCTTCTTATATTTATTGTTTGTTTTCTTGCACTGCTGTAACTGGAGCCTCGTCGTCTCGTCTCTCTATATACTGGACTGTATGTAGCGGAGATGACAATAAAGTTTACTTTGACTTCAGCAAGCAGTCGCAACGAGGGCTCTCGCGCTCACTTTTCGCGTAGAATTTCGAAAAAACATCGGTGCAAATTATGAGTCTGTATCATAATGTTTGGTGTTTTCGTGTTTGTTGTTTTGTTTTTATTTTGTTTTATTTTGCGAGCTGGTTATTAGATGCTGCTCCAGCCAGCCAGTGAATCCCCCGCCGCCCCGCCCTCTCCTCCCTGTGCCGCAAGCAGCAGGCACACCTCGCAAACGGAGGGCGCCCTTACTAAATGGGCGATAGAAAACCAATTGGTTTCTATTGGTTTGCCATCCCTAAATTGCGCTGGCAGGATGTCGGGGCAGCATAAGTATGAGCACCTTTTTTGGCGATGCCCATGATGCCGCCCTGGGCAACCGTGTAAAAACCGCTACTGGTTACGATTTTACAATAACCTGTAAAGGTTAGTATTTAAACTAAATAAGCTGCTGCGTTTATTGAAAATTTCTCTCAGCAAACGTTGTAAAGTAAAATGAAAGCCAAATAAAACGGGCAAATTAAAGCAACTGTACAGCGTCTTTTATCCAGTATAGCATCATAAAATCAGACAGATGTGACATTAACCAAAAACACCTAAATGTACCAGAATAACGGGAATAACTGATTCGATTAAATTGGCTGTATTTTTATAGCGCTGTACTTAATCCTTATGGTATGGAGGACCACAAGAGCCACGCATCGAAATAAAGAATTCTGTGCTTAAATAATGAATTGTAGAATAAATTCTGCATTTGTAAATTCATTTTTGAATTCCAATTTAATAAATTGCATTTCAAAATCCTTTTTCCAATTGCACTTTAATAAACTGCATTTCAAAATCCATTTCTCTTTCCTGTTCCCTCCGGGATTAGCTGCTGGATTAGCTGCTGGATTACCTTTTCAATAGACTACTTGCACTAGGGCATGTGACGTATTTCCGTTTCCAAATAGTACCGCTTGTGCGTTTCCGGTACGTTTGCTTATCTATCGGTAGCTATGCTAATGTCGCTTCAGAATGAGTATAAAAAGGAAAGTATTTAAAACAGAACATTTTCAAAAACAGGAGAAGAAATACTCCGAGCATTGCTGTGTCCCACTTTGTTCAGCTTCAGCCAAATTTAACGGCATACTAAGTTTTCATGCCTTTCCGACCCATTCCGACTTGAGAAGACAATGGCTGTTAAACATACGCCGGGATCATTTCACGATTACCTCTCACACCAGGGTCTGCTGCAGACACTTTGCCAGTGATCAACTCATAGAGCCAACAACCCTCGATGGTCGAAGGAGGCTTATTAAAGGTGCTGTACCAACACTTTTTGAGTGGAATGGCTATAAAGTTGAACCACCGCGGCGTAGTGTTTGGGAGAGAACGGAGCGACGCCCTGAACTAGTTCCTCCTGACGATCAAGAAGAGCACAGTCTTACAAGAGATCATGACTACTGCTCAGTCCCTGAGCCGTCTGCATTGGACATATCTGCATCAGCTGCAGAAGACCTGTCCAAAGACGTGGAGACTCTGAGGAAGGAAATACAGGAGTTACGTGTCCAGCGAGAATTTGGGTTACAGTGTTTTGCTGGCTCCGACAGTGACATCCGATTCTACACCAGGTACACCTAAGTTCTATTCAAGCTAACTGTTTAAAATATACCAAGGTCACCATCAGTTAAATTTCGAAAGTTTTTCCAGTCTTAATGAAAACAAAATAGATATTTACTTTTTCTCTGCTGATTGTATGTTTTATGTAGATGCTTTAGTATTTAAACGATATCCTAATGCTACAGGTAAAATACAACACCAAATACTCTTAATCAGACTATATTATACAGCATACCATTAGCATATTTGTCACAGATCACATTATTTTTATGTCAGTGTGTAATGTTAATTAATGATTGACACGATGTATGTCTCTCTCGTGAATAGATTTCCAAGCTATGATCATTTGATGGCATTCTGGGTTTTGATTGAGCCTTGCATCTATAAAATGATCCGGGTTTCAAGAGCCAAGTCAGCTGCCAATCGGAACGAAGAAGTGTTGACACCTGCACGCACATCAACAGTAGGTTATGGGTTTGTTGGTAGTTAGAACTAGAGGTGTAATGTTATTGTATTTATGTACAATAACATTACTTTATGTACAGTAGCATACATACACAGGTGTATGTATGCTAGACTCAGTATCCTTTACATACATACACCTGTGCACTACAGCACCTCATTGTTTACCCCATGGTACAGTATGGTATGCCTAACCATTACAAAACATTTAGCCAAGAAAATAATAATTTTACTAGTTCATAGCTTAAGGAGTAACATTTTCCCTTTTGTTTTCACCTTCCAGAGGCAGCTGCTACAGCCAATTGACGAGTTTTTTCTTTTCCTGGTTTTCCTGTCAGTTGGTTTGAAGGAGAGGGACCTGGCACACCGATTTAACATACACCAGTCCACAGTGAGCCGCATTATTGCAACATGGACAAATTTTCTTGCCACTGCACTGGGGTCTCAGTGCATCTGGCTTACACGTGAAGAAGTGCAAGCTTACCTCCCTGAGGAATTCAAAGATTTCTCAGACACCCAGATGATCCTTGACTGTACAGAGCTGAGGTGTCAGACACCATCCTCACCACTTCTCCAAAGTGAAATGTACTCTTCGTACAAATCCCACTGTACGATGAAAGCCCTGGTTGGCATAGCTCCACATGGTCCAGTGACATTCATCTCTAATCTGTATGCTGGTTCGGTTAGTGACAAGGAACTATTCAAACAATCAGGCATTGCTGAGAAGTTGACTGAAGACATGGCAGTGATGGTAGATAAGGGCTTCCTAATCACTGATTGTTGTAAATGCAAAGTGTACTGCCCACCTTTTCTATCTAAGCAGAAGCAGATGCCAGCATACCAGGTTAAGGAGACGCAGGCCATAGCCAGACTCAGGGTACATGTGGAGCGAGTCATTAGGAGGATCAAACAGAACAAACTTTTTGATAGCATCATTACCATGTCACATGTTTATAATATCAACCAACTGTTTGCAGTGGCATGTATGCTGTCAAATTACCAGAACACAGCATTAGTTAAAAAATGGGTTAAGTGAGACAAGATGGATTTTTCCCAAGACACCAGTGCCAGTAACTTATGGAAAATGACCTGCAGCTGAGGCCACTACAGTTGCATTTCTTCCTTCTCAGCTGACAATACTTGATTACAGAACTGGTACTTGAGTGCCGATAGTTGAGTTTCAGTTATTGATAATTCAAATTCATTGCATATGTTTAATGTTAATAATACTGTTTAATTATAATACTATATTACTATTCAGATTCAACAAAACTGTTTATCAAAATTATAAAGTAAATCACTAAATCGTTTTAAAACCATAAGTGACATTGAGCTTTTGGAACATCAAAAATACCATTTGTCATTTTCTACAGTTCAGTTGTGTTATTGTCTAAATGTATATCAGTATGCTAGGCATGGAGTTTTAAATACTTACCATGTAAATAAGTTCTGCACAAATCCAACGTTTTAATGTGTGTTTTTAAAAATTAAATTGATGCCATTGCTTAAATAACAGTTTACTGATGTCACATAAAGGTAACATGTAACAACAAAATAATTCATGAAATATATTGAAAATAAAACATCAGTTATTTTGTTCCAGCCAGCCTGAAGGATCTGTTTTTCTTTTTGCTATGTTTTCACTGTTCATTTTTTCAAACACAGGTATCTTGGCATATATATGTAAAAAAAGAAATAGTCTGCCTTTTCTCTGATTGCATTGTGCACATCTGTATCCATGTATATTCTTTGCACTAGGTAGTCCTCTTGTGCCCACACAACAAAGTCACACCACTGCATCCCACTGATGAGCAGTTGTCCTTGCACTTGCCAGTAATATGCGTGGCTCTTTTTTAGTTTAGGGGTACCACATTCCATCTGCACATATTTGCAGTCAATAAAGTTTTGTACATTGGGACATTTGAATTCGACGAAGCCAAACTAGGGGTATTCATTGGGGTCAAAAACAACACCATCAGGAGATGCAGCAAGCCAGGGGGCAATGGGGTGAATGACCAGACCACAGGGTGAGTAGTTAACATTCATTAGCCTACTATACTCTGCTGCTATTGCAGGCTCCATCTCAGTTCCTCTCCTCATGTCTGCTGTCTGCCTTGTTCCCTTCAATATACGCTCTGCTAGTGACTCGGCCGAGCTCTGGCCTCTGACGTGACACACCTCCCGAAACCTAGAGGCAGTCACTCTGGGCCTGCGGAGCTGATGCCACTCAGACGAAGAGCTTTGCTCACGTGTAGCTTCCTCTATTTTGTGAGCCATTTCCAGAGTTACAGACAAGCTTTTCAGATGCAGAAGCTCTTCTTCTGAGCACACAAACACACAATCTGATGGCAAGATGTCATACCCCTCCAGAGGCAAGTGCGGTGTTGGTGGTGCATCGCGGTGTAGTGTGATGTACCGGGTTGTCAAAACCGGCTGCTGATATGACAGAACACTGCCCTCCTGCACCAGCCCAAAGGCACTTTCCACAAGGGGCTTGTCAGGTCTCATGTTCATTGTGGTCACAAGTGGCCTGTCCTCAATATTAAATTTTGCATATGCCTCCGTTATTCTGAACAAGCAGGGATCTGGTAACGGACCCACCATGCCTCTGTAGAAGCCACTCCTAAAGAAAACATCAATGACAATAATGTAAGGAAGAAGGTTGTTATACTGAACAACAACTAAACTAAAAACTAAAAGGTGTAAAACAGTGGTGCATAAGTTAGAGACTGGGATGTATATGTACATGACTGAGTTAGCCGTCTTCAGAAAGTGTAATGTTGTATGTAAATTAATACCTATTCTGACACATGTATGTATGAAAAAAATAGCAACATACATTTGTAACACGTGAAACCAAATTTTACAAATGTAATTACTGTACTCCAGTCTGGGCCATCCTATTTGGTACCGGCTTAGTGAAGATCATGGAGTTGATGGGTCCTGGCCTCACACCCTAACAGAAGACACATTTACTATGGATGGTGTTGCTGTTCATATGTAAACATGGACTAATTCAAAAACTTTAACCTCATTTAAATTACCACTGTCCGTGGCTTGTGCCATTGCTGTTCAGATTCCGTGCAGCTATGCACAGGGGGGACAACCGGCACTCTGAGTTGTGAGTAGTGTGCTGTTTGGAAGAGCAATGCCACTGTGTGATTGCACATAACAGCGCCTGCCACACAGGAGCACTGGCTATGTGTCAGTATCACCGGCGATGAATCCAGAAGCTTAATCTAAGAAGAAAGAACGAAAATTAAAAATGTAACATCTTCATGGAAGAGCCGAACAGGAACATAGTTCAGTGTTATGGTTACGCACCCTCCTGAATGCTTAGTGTTTCCTTCTCTCCCTATTAAAACAACTTAACCATCCTTGATAACTGTAATAACTTAGATTGTGTATATTTGCAGTATTAACTTGTTGTCAAATGTTTCTGATCACCCAAACACACGTTGATTTAACTATCTGACTAGTCAAATTAGGAGTGATAAAGCAGGGAGACAAGGAAAACATTCAAGTTGATGGGCCTTTAGGAATGAACTTAACTAATGCTTAAATGAACTGAACCCCACTGAACGGGGATTAACAACTTTACACAGTTTCCTGCCTACACTTAGTCTGTGTGGTGCCTCACTCAGGACTACATAGAACGCGGAAGTGTTAGTGCAAGTAGTCCAATGGACAACTTCCTTGCGGCTATTCAAATTAGCCACACCATGGGATGTAAGGAGCTCTCTGATTGGTTGGACAGATACATGCTGCCTGCCTGGATTTTTCTAGCTCATAGCTTCGCCCTGCTAAGAAGCATGTGTGCTTGTACAAAGGCCGTTCAGCCTCAGGATGTACACTCGGCTCGACACGGATATGTGAAGAATGAAGGGACCCTGCAGCGCAACGGAGAGCCCAACCTCTGACTGAGTGCCTGTTTTCGCAGTCTGACCACCTGTTGAAGGTAACGTGCTAACATGGCTAACGCTAGCATCACCTTTTGTGGCCCCGTTATTTTAAGGTCGCAGCTGTACGAGCTAGCTACGTGTTTTGTGAACTGCTGTGCTCTTCACAAATAAAGCTGGAAGCAGCTAAGACTATTAGAACCAGCACTGAGCCCTGTTACATTTATACAGTGTTAGAGCAATGGCTGCAGCCTACAGCCTTTAAACTAGTGATTAAAATGCTGACAGTAAACTCGTCAGTCCAGATGTTACCACATTACTCTATGGTACTTAGAGTTAAAACAACTGAGACAGGCTGATTAAAATAACAGCTGTCAGTTCTCTCATTCCTTATATCAAGACTGGAGACCACACTACTGATTTCAGTTCATTTAATATTTGAGTCCACAGATTCATTCTCAACTGGACATAAACAATGATCAAAGGTTGTATATATGATGAATTCATCAAATCCCAGCCTCTAACACAGTGCGCTGAATCTTAGCTTTGAATGTCCAGTATATTCTAATCAATGCAATTTAAGCATTCACTGAACCTACAGTATCTACACCTGTGTGGCAAAGACACAGATAATGAAATTTAATTATTAATACAATTAGGGCTGGGCGATATGGCCTAAAATCCATATCTTGATATAATTTGAAGCATGTGCGTAACGATAAATATCGCGATATATTCTTTTTTCTGTATAACGTAGTTTCCACACTATAAGGCACACTTAAAATCCTTTAATTTTCTCAAAAATCGAGTGTGCCTTATGTATGAATTCTGGTTGTGCTTACTGACCTCGAACTGATTTTGGCGAGCAGAAATCTGCTAAAAATGTTTTGATTGATTGTCAGAGCATTACGGCTGCCGTAGTGAGAAGCTTCGCGGAGTAATCTGGGTCCAAAACTCCATCCCTTTCAGGTCCCAAAGTCAAACGAACACTGAGAGTTAAAAACGATCTAAATTCTTTAATCTTTAATAAAATCATCAGTGTTGCTGCTTTAGCAGGTGTAACAATCAAGTTTAACATCCATGCATCCATGAAAACAGAAGTTATTAAATTTAACGGAGTTAGAAGTTAACAGGAAGTTAGCTCGCTAGTTTCCACCTAAACAAGACATACCATGTTCTGACTGAGAGATTTTTGAAACTAAGTAAAACTTACAGCTCTGCTGTCACTTCCAACATAAATGAAGACAGGAAACTAAACAGCAGTGGCGTTTGCAGGGTTACTGAAGTTGGACTACCTGGTATATAATGTTGTGCTACGTGATTGCTAGCGACACAGCTATGTTAGCATAACATTAGCACAGTGAAGCTGGAGGATGAACGCCAACTTTTTTTCCACTCGATAAAAGTTAACGTGAGGGATTCTGGTGGTTAGGGACAAATGCAATCGCATAGCAGGATGCTATACACGGGCCAAACTTCAGTCAGGAGAACAACTGAGATTATTCATCCACAATACAAGGTTAGTTATTAATATACTGCAACAACATGGGAATAGAACAGCTGCGAAAGAATTCAACATTAATGAATCGCTACCTTATCGTGGTGGAGGGGTTTGTGTGTCCCAGGGATCCCAGGGGCTATGTTGTCTGGGGGCTTTTGCCCCCTGGTAGGGTCTCCCATGGCAAATTGGTCCTGGGTGAGGGACCAGACAAAGAGCGATTCAGAAGACCCTTATGAAAAGAACATCGAGGGAACAGTTTACCCTGCCCAGGATAGGGTTACCGGGGCCCCGCCCTGGAGCCAGGCCCAGGGAGGGTTCCCGAGAGCGAGTGTCTGGTGGCCGGGCCTTACTCCATGGGGCCCGGGTGCATTGTGTGCCGGGTGGCGGCCAGGAGCGGAGGCCCTGGCAGACTGACCCCCGGCTGCCAAGACTGGCAATAGGGACATGGAATGTCACCTCTCTGGTGGGGAAGGAGCCTGAGTTAGTGCGTGAGGTTGAGAGGTACCGGCTAGATATAGTCGGGCTCACCTCTACGCATGGCTTGGGCTCTGGAACCAGTCTCCTGGAGAGGGGCTGGACTCTGTCTCAGTCTGGAGTTGCCCCTGGGGAGAGGCGGCGGGCTGGGGTGGGTATTCTAATATCCCCTCAGTCTTGCTGCCGGTACGTTGGGGTTTTTCTCGGTGGATGAGAGGGTTTGTTCCCTGCGCCTTAGGGTCGGGGAATGGGTCCTGACTGTCATCTGCGCT